CTATTTCTGGCTTGATTATGGAAGATATTACGTTGCGTAATTCTTGTAGGAATAGGCTTTTGTTTAGCAGTTAATGAAGCATGATGATTGTTGCTTTCACTATTGTTCGAGTTGCCGCATCGGTGAACAGGGCTGATTATTATGCAGTTACTTGAATTGCGCATTTTTGGAAGATTTTTCTTTCCTGAGTAATTTGGCTTTCGTCTTATTTGAGTTATACGTGTTGGAATAAGTTGGGTAGTTCAACCACGAACATCATGACGATTGGATGAACACAATATTTCGTTTTGAGCAAGGCTTTCTCGCAAGGAGTGAGACAGGGAATTCCAACTTGGGGTCGAAGACAAACCTATTTGTTTCAGTTGTGTTAGAGAGTATAGAGTTCTTGTGCTCCTTGATATACTTTGTTGAGATGTATTAGACAAAGAAGGGCCCGGTTGAGGGTGGATGTCACCGCAGGATAGAAGAAGTGTGCAAAGACAGTCGTTATGTAGCGGTAAGGCCAATACAGTTGCACCATGTTTTGAAATTTTCACAATTGGAAATTTCAGCTTTTCAAGATGGTGACGTCGGCTGGAACTTTTAGTGGACTTGAAGGGAGTGATAAAGTTATCATCTTTATGTCTTTTCCCACTAAAGGAGCCACGAAACAGTAGTAAAAGTTGAAAAACGAGGACACCATGATAAACGTGGCCGCCCACCATTAGGTCCCAGTCCCAATACCAATTTGTTAGCCAATACCAATTTGTAAGCTTTCTAATCTTCATGAACCCTTTAAATTCCAGAAAGATTAAGAAAAAATTTCTCCCCACAAGCAGACAAGTGATGAGAATACAGAAAAATATCAATTGGGGATTGTAACATGATAAGAACTGTATGGCAGCCAGTACAGAGAATTACCAAATTAATGAGATCTGGGAGTAAAAGTGTTAATATAGAAATCAAGTAATCAGTGTAACACTGTTGCTCTACCAAATCAATCCACTTTAAAAACATCTTTTAGGAGCCCTTTACAAACTCAGAGGCCACAAATACAGTGTATGGGTGAGTAACTGATTGATTCATTAATGGAATTTTCTGTCATACCAGATTGAATGGTATGCACTGAATTTTTCTATTAACTAAAGATACTGTTACAAGAATAGACATTTCCCCTACCAGATATTGCATCAATCTTGATGTTTTTAATACGATAAGACACAGATGCTGGAAGTCGACCATTTAACTTGGTAAACACTTGTTCCAGGTAACCTACAAAACGACTCTGAAATGACATAATATTGAGTAAGAGCATGTATCCAGAGGAGCTCTTGAGAAACTTTTTAACCAAAATCAATTCTTGGCATGTATCAGTTTTTCACAGTACATTCATGTTGTAAATCACACAATGTACACCAACCTGACTGGGTGTCTGCACTCCTTGATATTTATTTCCTACAGAATAATCAGTTCTCCTGTGTCCAAAATATTCCAGGCTGTGCTAAAAGAAACCATGAATAACACATAGTCATGCACTGATAACCAGGCATTAGATCAAGATGACTGAATGTTGACCAATTTATTTCCTATTTAATTATAATTATTATTTTGGTGGTGGTGGGGGAGGGGGGGCATTTGTAATGGAATAATACCTTTGCTTGCTCAAACTGACCACTAGCAATGAGCCAAGCACATATTGCAGTCCCTGTTCTACCTAGAGAAAACAACAACATTTAATAAAATATACAATAGTGATAAAAATGAAACCAATGGAAAATACTGTAAAAAAAAACAAAAAAAAAAAACAACAGTAAACAGTGGGCACCCTGAATTGCCATTGCCTGATACAAACAGATTCACAAACAGTGAGATCTCAAAGATACTAGGTTACATTATTGTGCGGCAAAACAATTTGATAAAATTGAAATGTTTGTGAAGTTGGATAATTCAGACTCAGTTCTCCACTTGGATCAAATTTTTGTCCACATGGTGGTATAGGAGTACAAAAATTCTATAAAGCAACAGAAAAATGCTATCTTTTCATTTCTTATTTTTTCTTAAGGTACTGAGTTGTTGATTAAAATGTAAAGTGGCTACCAAACTACATGAAAAAGACAAGAAACACACCTCAGGCAATACTAAATGGTAAGGTGTCAGTCAAGTAACACAGTTTCAGGCTCTTCTTCCCAAAATCATGAAATTAAATTGGAAGGAAATTGCATTTAAACTGAACTGAAATTGTTATTTTCACCTTTTCCTCCTTTACAATGAACAGCAATAACATTATTAGGGTCTCTGTCCAGCCATTCTCTCACATTATGTGTAAAATACAACAATTGACTGAAACAAAGTCAGAATGCAGTAAATGGTTTGAAAAATAAAACAACAAATCCACAAGTAAGATCTCTGGGACATTTATGTGTTAAAAATAAAATGCATTTGTCACAATTGTTATTTTGCACCATACCACTTAAGTCACTAATTTGACCACAGCTATGAGCTTCAAAACATGAACATTGGTACAGTGGACCTTGTAATCACCATTGGG